AACAATATTTAACGTCATCACCAGAGTACCAGTGAAGCCACGTGTTAAGAGCAACGCTTTAAATACTTGTGTTAATTATATAAGTAGATGCTGTTGAAATAGAGGCAAGAGCAGCAGAACCAGATCCATTTACAAAGAGTATTGCCTGAATTTACCTGAGTTACTATCTAGTGGCCTCGATGGGGGCATGAAGCCAGCAGCTCGCCAAAAGTCCTCCCAATTTCTCCTAAATGGTATATCTATAAAGCAGGATGTCTGTTCAGTATTACAGGCTCAGATGCTTGGCGCTAGCCTCGCAAATCTTTGCAGGGTGACTGATGGGTATAGGGGGATAGTCATAGGGGGGTCCGGTATTGATCTCCATAACCTTTAAGGAGGGTTGGGTCTACCCCAATGCGCCCTTATTAAGTCGGTATATATGAAATGTTCAGGGCAGAGTCCGTAGAGTTTTATAGTTTATTCTAATTCATATATTTAGGTGTCACTCGGGTGGTACCTGGGTCGACCCCATAAGGTTGTACCATTTAAGTGTTGGGAGCTCCAGGAGTCGAGCAAACCTCGACCAGTAACAGTGCAGAACACGACAGCAGCCGCACGAGAAACTGCAAGAACCAACGGGTCAGAAATAGCAAGAATGAATAGCATATGGTCAAGAATGTTGAGCAAATGGTCTATAAATTCTAAGAATGTAGAGCAAATGGTCCAGATATTCCAAGAGTTTATTGCTGCTGGTCCAGAAATTCCAAGAGTTTATTGCTGCTGGTCCAGAAATTCCAAGAGTTTATTGCTGCTGGTCCAGAAATTGATCATTCAGTAATTGGGGGATATGGTTGTAAACAGGTTGGCACAGTGTTCATGGAAAACTAAAGAATTAAGACTAAAGATGTCCCTCAGTACCATAAATTCCAAGAACATGTGCAGGAGAACCAGCTGCTGGGGTAGCGGTAGCAGCAGCAGCAGCAGCAGCAGCAGCAGCAGCAGCAGGGAGGGAGGAGTGGCCAGGAACTTAAAGCTGTGATACCATACCTCGGGAGGCGGCTGGCTCACGTGGGTCAGCTCATTCATTCACCATATTGCTTCCTCAGGCCCGCCCGCCCTCCCTCCACCACCCACGTTCCTCCCTCCCTCAGCACAGCACGAAAATGGAAGATCTGGTCAACTTCTTTGCGTGATATCCAAACCCTTGAATATATAACTGATATAAACACGAGCGTGGCAGATTTTGAAAGTGGAAATTGACAGGCCATGCAGTCTGCCCCGGGTACAGACTCGTCGAATTTAATATTTATAAACAAAATGCAAAGTGCCAGCTAGCACAGGCACTCGGTATAGTGTGGAGGAAGGGCTTGGACACGGGGGAGATCACAGATGCACTTAAATCAGCAGACATAGCCCCTCTACACAAGGGAGGGAGTAAAACATTGGCTAAGAATTATAGGCCACTTGCACTAACGTCCCCACATAATAAAAGTATTTGAGAGAGTGATCAAAGAGTCAAGTCACCAGTTTCCTGGAGACCAATGACCTCAATCCAGGCCAAAATGGATTTAGAGCGAGAAGATCGTGCTTCTCACAGCTACTTAACCACTACGACAAAGTCACCGAGGCATTAGAATAAAAACAAAACTCAGATGTGTTATACACTGACTTCACAAAGGCATTTGATAAATGTGACCATAAAGTGATAGCACACAAAATGAGGTCAACGGGAATAACAGGTAAAGTAGAACGGTGAATATTAAATTTTATGTCCAACAGAACACAGAGGTAACAGTCAACCAAATAAAATAGTTCGGTTAAAAGCTCTACCTCAGGGTACAGTCCTTGCACCACTGCTTTTCATTATTCTCATATCGGATATAGACAAAAATACGTCACAGCTTCGTATCATCCTTTTCAGATAACACAAAAATCAGCATAAAAATTTCCTTTGCTGAAGACATTGAAAACCTACAAGCAGATTATTAATAATGTTTTCGACTGGGCAGCAGAAAATAACTTGATGTTTAACAGTGATAAATTCCAGGTACTCGGGTACGGTAAAAATGAGAACCTTAAACAAAATACAGGGTACGAAAGAAAATCAAATCTGCCCGTAGTAGCTAAGCATCATGTAAAGGATCTGGGAATAACGATGCGTAGGGAGTATAACCAAGCAAATATTTCTTCTGCCAGAAAAATGCTAGGATGGATTACGAGAACCTTCAAATCCAGGGATCCCATCACAGTGGTTGTATTATTCAAATCACTTGTGCCATCACATCATATGACGCGTGCTAAATTTGTCTACAATAAGTGGCAAGTCCTTGTGCTGTCGGGTGGGCGTTCCATGCCCCTGATGGAGCAAGGGGATGGCCACTATTCATTTACTACTCGTATTCCTGTCATAGTGGTTTAGTGCGTTTTCCTCGTCTTACTTCTCTTCCTTCTCATTCTCTTCTCTTCATATTCTCTTCTCTATCTTTCTCATCTGTTCTTTCCGATTTCCTCACCTCTTCTCTGCTTTATTCTCGCCCATCTCACTCTTGCATCCATCCTCTCCCATCTCACTCTTGCATCCATCCTCTCCCATCTCTTGCATCCCTCCTCTCCCATCTCTCTTCTCTTGCATCTCTCTTCTTTCTGATCATCCAATTTCCCATTCGATAAATTGGAAATCGACATTCTGGGACATAATTAGAAATCGTGCATTATGGCGGGTGGTTTATCGGGGTGTGGGCGTAACATTGTCCTATATGGCTGGCACATTAAAGGCAGGCACAGCAATGTTAAAAACAACGCCAGACTCGTTAAACTCGTTCAAACAGAAATAAGGAAAGCGGAGCAAACTATGAAGTACGTACAGTGGGGGCAAGCCAAGACAAATCTCGTTTTTTTTTCAGATATATCCAACAATGATTAGGGCAAAGACCAAGCCATGTAGCCAGGCAACCAACCAAGCCAGGGGTGTAACCCACCCCCCCTCCCCCTGGGTGTCGGGAGGTGGGTGTAGACCACCCCCCTGGATGTAAGGGGGGGGGTGTAGACCACTCCTGGGTGTCGAGGGGGGGGGGGTGATTTCCGTAGAGTTGTCATTGAAAAGACAAGAAAAGTAAGAGGGATAAAGGTAAACACACAATAACCGACCATCTGACAGACCTATTCAGTTGTTTCAGTGCTTCTGGGGTGGGGGTTAGTGGACGAAGGGGGTGGGGGACGGTCAAGGTATAGAGAAACAAAGATAGAGATTTATATTCAGTATACAGATATAAATATATAACCCTTCTTCCCTCCTTTTTTCCACCTCTCCCTGCTTCTTTTCCCCATTTCCACTTCTTTCCCCCTATTTTATCACCACTTCCCCTTATTTTACCTCTTCCCCTTGTCTTCATTTCATCCCTCCTCTTCCCCCCTCATCATCCCACCTCTCCCCTCATCATTACCCCTTCCCCTCATCATTACCCCTTCCCCTCATCATTACCCCTTCCCCTCATCATTACCCCTTCCCCTCATCATTACCCCTTCCCCTCATCATTACCCCTTCCCCTCATCATTACCCCTTCCCCTCATCATTACCTCCTTTCCCCTCCCCCTGTTTTGCCTCTCTATTCGTCTCCCTATCTCCATTCATTTTTCCCTTCCCCCCATTACTATACCCATCTTCCTTATTCACCATTTTCATCGCTGTAACCCCAAATGAATTTAGTTATTTTCAATGTCATACTCCATGGGGGAAAACACATCCGTGATTTCATTTTATACTTCATGAATATCTCACTGGCAGAAGGGGAGGGGGGGGGAGTCTTACTGGCTGATATTAAAGTATTTAACTTAGGCCAACCCCAACTAGTCTGGCCCATCCACTTGGGGTGGATGGTAGAGCGACGGTCTCGCTTCATGCAGGTCGGCGTTCAATCCCCGACCGTCCAAGTAGTTGGGCACCATTTCTCCCTCCCCCCCTGTCCCATCCCCGACCGTCCAAGTGGTTGGGAACATTCCCCCCCCCCCCCCTTCCCATCCAAAATTTCTTATCCTGATCTCTTCCAAGTGTTATACTGTATAGTCGTAATGGCTTAGCGGCGCTTTCCCCTGATAATTCTTCCCCCCCCCAACAAGTCTGTCTGTCCTGTACCCCAGACCATTTCCCCTGCAAAGTTGGATGAGGCTTTAGTATAGATTACTATACGAGTGAGTCTGTCCAAGGTTGAAGGCCAGATGTTTGGGGCTGTCCTCCCTCAAATTTGCAGGGGTGTGAGTCTAGCATATGGGATGGACTTAGGCTGGTTGGGATCGACATGAGTTAAACACTTAGAAATATTGGCATTTATAAAGACTCCCGAGCAATTTTGTTTTGGAGTCAAGAGTTAAATATATGGTGTGATGTATTCCCTCTAGAGGGTTTAGTGATCATATATTTTGAGACCCATACCATTGTTTCAGTGCTTCTAGATAATAGTTTGAGGGAAGGGTGGGGAAGAGGTAGAAAGATTTGGAAGAGGGTGGGTAAGAGACCCGGGTGCAACTGGGGTACCCTGCAATGTACATAAAGGGAAATGTCTGTCTGTCCGAGGTTGGAGGGGAAAAGTGGTGAGGGTAGGGAGTTGGGGGTGATGGTGGAAGAGGCAGAAAAAGTGTGGTGGAAGAGTGGGGAAAGGATGATTGGGAAGGAGACAGACTAACCCCGGGCACTGCCGGGTGTCCCTCCTAATATATACACACATAATTGGACAAAGGCTACTTTTGCTTAGCAGTACATAGGGTGGACGGTACAGCGATGGTCTCGCTTCATGCAGGTCAGCGTTCAATCCCCGACCGTCCAAGTGGTTTGGCACCATTCTTTTCCCCCCTGTCCCATCCCAAATCCTTATCCTGACCCCTTCCCAATGCTATATAGTCGTAATGGCTTGGGGCTTTCCCCTGATAGTTTCCTTCCTTCCTTAGTATGTAGTACTGTGTATGGTTTTTTACCAGTTATGTTTTCTAAGTAATGTGTGGAGGTTTAACTTAATGGTGTGTTGCAGGCTGTAACAGAGAGAAGACCAGTGTCAAGATATTAAGGATGCCGAGCACAGCAAGAACAACAGTAACGCGCCTGGGGTTAGTGTTGGCTGCCTTGCTAATGCTTCCCCGGGTACTGCCTCACACACTGACGAGGCGAGGAGAGCCCTCCCAGGCCACCTACAAGAGAAATTTTACAATGCCTGGAGTTAGCCCAAAAGTGGTAGGTGGTGTTGGTGTTAGTTATGGCTAGGTTAGGTTTCCGTTTCCTTTTTTCACTAAGGTTCTGTAAAATATGTAGCGAATATCAAATTGCATTAACTTGAAGCCAACAGCATTTAGATATATGATATATGATATGATATAATTAAGCTTAGAATTGAAATTGGAAGATATTTGTAGTAATTTTTGAGTGAAAAGCAATACCCAATGCCTTGAAATTGTATATGTTTGTGGTTTTGCCTTGGTTAATGACCTGGATCAGTTCTGTCAACATTTCTGATGTTACAGCATGGCTTCATATTGTATATTGCTTCCCCCCCCCCCACACACACACACACACACACTTAGGTAATTACACACACACACACACACAACCACCATCCACACTTGGTTACTCGCTCAGCCATGCCCTCCTGCCAGTCACGCGGGGAGTCTTGCGAGCTCGCACCAGTGACACCCACTCCTGTCACTAACACACTACCCACAACAACCATTCCCTCCCCAGTCACTAGCACACTACAGGGGAAATAAACTTGTCAGAAATGTGACCACATGAAGGGGGGGGTGGCATGGAGGTCAAGCTGGGGGGGGGGGAAGAGTAGTAGAAATTAAGAAACCAGAAAAAGAAACCATTGTACAAGTAGACTGGCTTAACATTAAAGGAAATACTGGATCAAGAAATCAGGGAATTCTTGCAGAAGATAATATGGGTAAGAGAATTCAAAGACATTGGTTTGACATGGTGTCTTCATCTTCAGGAAAATGAAGCACAAGATAATGGAAAAAGTATTGGGGAACTGAACATAAGAAAATTACAACACCTACTTTGAACACTTCTGCAAATTCACATGGTAAATGATATATAATCAAAGAGGTTAATGAATATGTGAACCCAGTGTTTAAAGTAATTAAAGCCAAATCCAGTAAGGTGAGCTCAGAATGTCGGCTGAGGACACAGCCACCCGTTTTGTTTTTATAACATAAGTTACCTGGAGCATACCTGGTGAGGGTTTCGGGAGCTGTTGTTCTCCCTGAGCCTGGCCAGAGGGCAGGTTCGGAGGCAAATTAATGTTTCAAATTAATTTAGTGTCTATAAAGCACACCTGTGCTTAATGATGATTATGGTTCAATACACAGCTGCCATCATCAGTGATCACCTCCACTACAGCTAGCTCGTCTCTTGCTTTCATGCCTGGAGTAGTACAGTATTTATTTGCTACAACTGCCTCAAAGATATTTCACTATTTTCACTCATTTACATGAAGTATTATCTGTAATGCTTATATCACTATGATCCTTCAGTGTTGCCACACAGCACATTTGCTCTTTAAAACTGTGTTCCTGCATAGACTACAGTATTTTTAGTATTTATTATTCATCAGTTATATATGAATTATGATGTCTTTTTCTTTTTAGTTATATTATTTGCCCCCCCCCCCTCTTGTTATTCTGTGTGAATGTTTGTTTGTCTGGCACTGAGCCACGGCGGGAGAAGAGGTGAGGCCCTTCCTGGGAAGGGAGGGTCATATTATGCCACTGAAAATACAAATGTTGCTAGGGTACTTATATTTGTTTTTCTGGCAACATGATAATGTGGTTAAAAGGTAGTATATAATTTTGTTTTACTGTACATGTATTTTATGTCACGTAGCTGGAAGATGACCGTGTATTGCTTCCTGGTGGTGGTAGGCCTGTGCACGAGATGTAAGGAAATTGTCATACCCTGTGCAGTTGGTCGGCAAGTGGAATGCATTAATGGAAGATGTTCATGAAGCCATTTCCATCTACAACTTCAAGAAAATATGATAAGAACTTGAACGTTAAGAGATGTAATTAACATTCCAGAGGCACAGGTTTTATGTCTGAAAGTGTTTGCTGCTGCTATTAGTGTTTGTTTACTGCTGTAATCCATTACTGTATTTATAGTAGGAGTGTTTGACTCTTGCTTTCCTCTCCCACCTAGCCAAACAGGACACGGCCATATTATTGTAAAATTTTTAATTCATTTTATTTATTTTTAGTACATTGTTAATTTATTACTATGATTCCCCTCCTTTCTGTCCCTCCCTAAATTCTCCTCCTACAAACTAGGATTTCTCTCCACCTATTAAAGATGTCACTGTGATCTGGGTGGAGTGATTATAGCAGAATCATTTCACGCAACTCTTGATTGTTATCTGGCCCGCTAACCCGCTACCTAACCGAGTCCATGTGTGATACTAATAGTGTGTGTGTACACATTTCTTTTTTATTCACAACTTATATTTATTTGTATGTGACGCTTACTTTATTATAAGTTTTGTTTTCATATTAGTGAGGAAAAAAAATATCACTTATTTTCTGCCACCCTATTCATACTCTACTTTGCCTTGTTTACCTCGTTTCTAGTTTAATTTTGAATACTCCTTTCTATTGTTTCTATATTGATACTATAACTTATTAAGTACTAATCAAGTTTGTTTTGAATTAATGTTTTCTTTTTTTAAACTTTCAGCATGATTCTTACTTGTGTACAGCAGTAGCGCTGGATGAGAACGTTGAGGAATGGGTTGTCAAGTTCGACCCTTTGGCTTCAGCTAACAGAGCACACCACATGTTGTTATTTGGTTGTTCTGACGTGGATAAAAATAATATGAAGAATAGATATTGGTAAAGCTACTTTCCTTCCTGTTACATAATGTTTAGCAGAAAATTATACTATATTTTGCAGACAGGACACAGGGAAGACAGGACAGGACAGGACACAGGGGGAGACAGGACAGGACAGGACACAGGGGGAGACAGGACAGGACACAGTGGAGACAGGACAGGACACGGGGTGAGACAAGACAGGACACGACAGGCAGGACACAGGGAAGACATTGTAATACAAATGCAGTTTGTAAAGCTAAAATCCTCTGAAATATAATAGTTATACTATTAAAGTGTAGTTTTCGGACAAATATCAAATGCACTGTTCGTATACTAAGAAAATAATAAAAAATATAATAATGCAAATACTTTCAATGCAGGGACTGTGGTCATCATGGTGTATGTATGGGTGGAAGAATAATGTATGCCTGGGCTAAGAATGCTCCAGCCACAGTTCTTCCAGAAGGTGTGGGATTCCGCATTGGTGGGAAAACAGGAATACGGTATCTCACACTCCAGATCCATTATGGAAGCCCTCTGCCAGACGGAGTAGCTGACCATTCCGGCCTAGAGATGGAACTTACACATCAACAGTAAGTTTCCAGGTCACTTTAATATTTATCAAAGTAATCTTGGGATGGACGGTAGAGCGACATTCTTGATTTGTGCAGGTTGGCCGACTGTCCAAGTGGTTGGACACCATTACTTTCCCCGTCCCATCCCAAATCCTTTTCCTTGCCCCTTCCAAGTGCTATATAATCATTATGGCTTGGCATTCTCCAGATAGTTCCCTTCCCAGGTATTAGTTATCTAAGCTCTTGTTCCAGTTGCATAGTTGCTATTACACCATTTAAAATTCTGATTGAGCATGGATTACAATGGAAGAGTTAAAAAAAATAATATTCATTTTGATCATGGATTTGTTTCTATTTATAAAAAATTATAAAATTAGAGCACAGGGACATCATATTTTTTCTTTTATAATTTAAACTATTATCAATCTCTTAGCTCATTAAAATGTTGACAACGTGTTAGTACTATGCGACAGATTTTGTTTTCACAAAATGTCTGTTTCTGGGCTGGGCCTCAGTAGGTGCCTAATGCATTGGTTCTGATACCCCAGGTGCATCCAAGGCCTCTGGCTTCTTGCAGCCCTTCCAAGCACCAGGACCATTGCACTGGATTTTGCTCGAGGTGTTGTACTGTACTGCTTTCCTTGCAGATTTGTACTTTATCACTGGTGGGATTGTGGCGCAGCCTCCTTGAGCCATGCAGAGGATTTTGAGTCATCATTTTGTTCCCTCAAGACATTGGGCAAACTTCCACTGTTTCCATGTTTTCTTTCTTAATCAAAATATAGTTGGGCAAATTTATTCCATTTTGGGTTCATCTGACATCCTATCTCACCTCACCTCTGTAACCACACCCTAGCCTTATTCCTGATGTTGTGAGCAGGTCCAGAGGTCTGGTAGTTTTGTGAATGTGTGCACGGTACAGAGCCAGTTCACTGAAGTTACTCGAGTAACTAACTTACCTAGTAAGGACATTCAGTACAGTACATTCATTGCTTGATTTAGTGTACGACTTCTCATATAAATTTTAACCTTTTTAATTGATTGATTGTCTTTGCAGACAAAAGTACAAAGCTGGGATATACCTACTAGCAGCAGGTGGTGTAGACATCCCTCCATACACTGAAAGTAAGGAATCATTCAAGTTATCATTAACTCATTTTTCAAGCATTTGTTTGGTGTCCCATTGTCAGGAGCAGGGGAACCTGTTAGGCTTATTTAGGTTTCTTGAGGCTGGCCTTCCATAAGATATAACTATCAGGTACAGTACCTATTTACTGCTATATGAGCAGAGACATCAGGTGAACTGTAATGTGTCCAAACATCTCAGCCTCAAAAACAGTGCTGTGAATCTTTCACTTGTTTCCTGGAAGTGTGTACAGGTATAACAGTTATGAGGAAATACACAACTGGGGGACTTAAGAGATGTATACACTAATGGGGAGGTTTGTAGAGAAGAGTTAAAAATAAAGTTGGCATTGATAATCTTATCTGGAAAGGTTGTGTTAAAGAAATTTTGCCACAATGAAATGGATTGCTGTTGACTAGGTCTTGTGGAATTTAGCTTCACAAAGTAAATCCTTGTATAACACACTAATATTAGATTTGTATCAAACCTAATATCTAGGTGTATTAGGTACAGGTGCATGTATTAGGTTTGTAAATTTTAGGTAATAGCTTGAAACTGAAGTGGAAAAAAAATATGATGTAAAGGTGTTTATTAATAGTTTTCTGATTCATTTATTTATTTATTTTTTGAAGATTGTGAATATTAACCAAGAATTTTGTATTTTTCCAGAAACGCATGCTGATTTGAATTGCGCAATTGGAAACACAGGCGAGCCTTCAGACATATATTTATTCGCTTACCGTGTTCATGCGCATGTCCTGGGCACAGTCATATCTGGATATTTGTTTGATTCAGAGGTAAGATTCATTTTTTGAGGATGCATTTATATATTCACCTAACTGTGTATGTGGGGGTGGAGTTCCAGCTCTGGGTCCTCCCCTTTTAATCATTGTATGGTGTGACATGCAAACTTGTATATGGAGTTTGCCACTATTATTTCCGTCTTCTTGTGCATTCAACTTCTTTGTTGTCGTCTCAAACTTGTCAAACATTGCACCCATCTATTATTCTGTCAGTTCAATATTTAAAGTACCTTTATATGTTGTGACTATACGACTGTCTTAATTCCTCTGTGTTGAGATTTCTTTGCAGTCTATTCTCATGGCTCGGGCTATTTTATCTTGGAGATCAGTCTAGTGGTAAATATCGGGATATTGTGTAGTCGACTTGTGCAGTATCATATCTAGGCATAAAGTATAAAGAGGCAAACCAAATTAAAAAAATGCAAAGACAAGTAATTCCAGGATGATGGGGAAGTTTATCACAAGCTACCACTGACCTGGCTGCCAGTGCATCACTTCACCCCCACCACCACGTCTCTATCACTTGCCATCCTTGGCATCCACCTACAGAATCCCTGCTCAAGGAATTACCTATCGACTGAATTTTTTTTAACATTATATGAGCAAATAAGCATTAACATTTTTAGGGAATTTTGATAAATATAATATAAAACTTCTTAAATTTTTAGGTCTTTAGATTTTTAATTTTTAATTTAAGATACTTCTTTGTATTATCAATAAGTGACCATGGACAGTAGATCCTAATGCTGGAGAATATAGCATCATAGATATGTACAATAATTTTGTAACTTCCTGGTAGTTTTTTCTTTAATAAATAATGTTTAAAATTCCACTTGCCATTTATGCATCTTTTCTTAATGAGCCCCCTTGGTGGCTTCTTGAAGGTATCTTGTTGATATAGCTTTCCCTTACCGAGTCACGTCAGCCATAGGGATCTTGTTGGCCTACCAGGGACCAGAGCCAGAACCTGTCCCTCATAGAAAGCTAGAGATTATGATTGCCCACACTGAGAAAGCATCTAGAAAGTGAAGCACTGCAAATACCTGAAAGATTCACATGAAGTGAAGCACCAAAACGGCCATCTGACTTCGCAAATGACTTTCAAATCCAAATGGTTCACTTGACACTCGCTCGAACCTCCTAGTGCACGAAGCCGCCAACAGGTGGTACCCCAGAACTTGTCTTCTGGGCCAGCAATGAGCCAGTCCTGTTGCTGATGTCGGAGCAATCAGACTTTCCTGAATCGCATTTGCCATAGCGAGTCCCCTGCTTTTCAGAGATTGGCGATGGCCATTCTTTGGACTTTGTCCTGTGGGAGTCATTTGATTGAACAGTATATCATTCCTAACATTTAGCATTTGCTTCATGCACTTATGTTTTCAAACCTCACTTCTTGCATGGACTGTCTTATCTGTGCTACAAGCTGGATGTGTTTAGGGTGTTCCTTTCTTAGGTGCTCGTTTAGCATTGCCCCTGCACTGACAGTGAATTCTGTAGTGTGTTTGGAAGTTTGCTCCGGAGAGGCCAGGCCACTGGGGTGGCGAGCCTCACCTTGTGTAGTGTAGGAGTCATTGACTTCTGCGGGACCCTGTGGTTGGGGCATTCTGTTTGTATTCTGGGGTGCACTAGGGCTCTTGTATTTATTTGTACAGCACTCCACCGACACCCTTCATTACTTACTACTTGTAAGTGCAGACTCTTCATGTTTTGGTTACAAACTAATGGTAAAAAAGTCTCCTTCTGCCACCTGTTGGGTGGGTGTTACCCTCTGCCCTGTGGCCTGCGATATTAGGATTGACAGGTTCGCTTTTATTATTCAAGCCTGTCATTTGCCTTTGTTTCCTTATTTTTGTAGACATGAGGCTCCACATGTGGCTGCTACTTCATTGGCTCATTTGTATGTGGTTAATGACAATAGCTTCGCCAGCCAGCCTAAACGAGCAGTTACTCACTCGCTCAATAACCCATCTATATATATAACATAATATAACATAGTATAACATTTGTAACATGGTAGCATACCCATGAATATAATGACACAGTACAAGGAATGGCAAAAGTCAAATGGAAATAACTGTACACTACGTTAACATCAAGGAATGACCACAGTGTATCCAGTCATAACTGGTATATGCTGGGTCATGACACCTGTTGTGTGAACTGTTTGTATGGCTCCCCTTTGCTCTGGGTTCTGGGGCAGCTGAGGCTTCGGGACTCGGACTGCATTTGTTGGTAGTTAGGAGGTCAGGAATTTGGCCTGGAAGTCAGGAATTCCTGGTGCATAACCTGTTGGGGGCTTTGTGCACTAGGGGATGCAAGCTAGTGTCAAGCGAGCCATTTGGATTTGAGTAAATCATTGGCCGAGTTGGTTTGCTGTTTTGATGCTATTTGTGAGCTTTGCAGTTGTTTGTATTGATTTGCTTACTTTCTGGATACATTCTTGATTTGGGAGATCTTAACAATTCCCAGCTCCTTGTGCCTCTGAGGGACCAGGTAATGACCAGTCCCTGATAGGCCAACAGGACTCTTGCCACTGATGTGACCAAGTAAGGGAAAGCCATCTCGGTAAAATAGCTTTCGGGAGTCACCAGGGTTCTACCAGAAAGAGACGTCTAATTACATTCAGTGCTGTTGTTTTTTATTGCTACTGTACTTAGTATTTGCTATAAATATGTTTAACCTTTTTCTCTTTCTTTCTCTCTCTTTCTCTGTGTCTCTGTGTCTGTCTCTCTGTGTGTGTCTCTCTCTGTTTCTCTTCCCCCACCCCAAATTGATTTGATAAAATTATTTTTACAGAAAAAAGACTATACTGAGATAGCCAAAGGTAACCCTCATTGGCCACAGGCATTCTACCCCATGACTCGGATACATCAGGTTAAACCCAGTGATATTCTCCATGCGCGTTGCACCTGGAATTCTACTGCTCGAAACAGGCATACTTATATAGGTATTATTTACACTTGTAATATGTATATTGGGAATTTAATTATGAAAACAATAATATTGTACTTTAATTACAACCAAATTCTCAAGTATATATTTTTGTTATAAATTTTGTACTTACAAAGGCTTCATAAATATTGTGTTGGGATTAAAATTTTTGTTTTTGCATCATAATGTATTATTGTATCATAATCTAGCTGTTATTGGATCATAGTCTTATTTTGTATCAGTCTTTCAATAAGTGAGAGCAATATTTGGAGTTTGATGTTATTATTGTAATGGACATGATACCTATCAAATAGTTTTACATGGATTTATCACCAATTAAAAAGACTGTACCTTTTTTTTCAATGCAGCTGTTGTCATTTTCTTACTGTTTACACCCAGTCTGTATATAATTCTTGAGCCATAATACATGTTATGAACTCTGGTAACTTTGGTAACTGGTCACACTTAGCCATTCTAAATACGGTATACATTTCCTTGTCTGTACAGTATTCCATAATTAAAATGGGGAAAGTTTGACTTTGAAAGTTTAAGGTACACATATACAATGCCAAATACAAGTTGTATTTTATTAAATTTTTTCCTTCATAAAGTAAATTGTTTGGAGCAATTTATAGTCTTAACCTTTGTTTGACATCATTATTAGCAGTACACTTCATGCTTTAACCTAAATTTAATATTGTGTATTTTCTGATGCAGGCAGCACTGCTGAGGACGAGATGTGTAATCTTTACTTGATGTATTACACTGACCGAGACAAGGGATCCGAGACGGGCGGTTGTATGTTTGAAACCTTTCCTGTAATTACTCACAACCTGCCTCCGGATAGTGATGTGCCTTTACCTCCAAATCCCCTGCTGGAGGAGCATGCAAAGGGAGAGAATAGAGACAAAGTAAGTTGTGCTGTTAAGCTTTTATGTATGGATACTGTATTAAGTAAAGAAATGGGCCACTCTGTTAGGGACTTCATACTCATGGTCCGTAATGCTCAGCTTGTCAATTCTAACCACAGTAAAGTGTTCAGTGTTGGCTTCTTAGTGCACAGGACTAGTCTTGCACATTTAGTACTTTCTAGGAAGTGTAATCCACAAATGGTGCGAGATGTTTTAACCACTTGTCATAGTAAAGCACACTTGATATGTCTGGTATCTATTGCCTATTATATTGGCACCTACAGTCTTCACAAACATCTTGTTTTGTGATTTATTATCTCGGTCCATTTGTTAACATTTTCTTACATTTCCTAAATTTATTGACTTGTTTATATACCGAGATTGTAATACAACACTTTAACATGGATTGCAAAATTCTGTATAAAAGTGATTCAAGCACAGCTTTAGGTCATCATTATCTTAATTTGTGATACTCTATGTATTATTTATTAAACAAATTTGCATCCTATTATGAAAAATTATAAAAGTATACCGTTTATGGAATTAGTACACACTAAATCCAGTACATATCCCAATAAATGGCAGGCTGAAAAGTGCAAAGTTTCCTCCTCAACGACCTACGCTTAGTCACACTCTACAGTCACATTCCGTATTTCACTTTTATACTTCTCGGTTTTCCCTTTTCATTTACTCGACATCCCCTCGCTTAATATTTTTTATTTTCCTCTAGTATACATTTACAACATCATTTTCTAATTGTTATTCATGCCCAAATATTTTTTTTAGTATTACTTCTATTGTGGCTCCTTGGTATTTGCTACATTGAAAGCTCCACCCAATTCAATCCATGCCAGGCCCTCGAATCATTGTAATGCTTCTAGGGAGTCGAGGCCAAAACTTGGAACTCTCTAAACTAAAGAGGCACATGGAGCAGGTTGTTCCTAGAACTTCATAAGTCTTTAAAAATCTAGTTTCTATTGCTTAAGCCTTCCCAGTTTTATTTTTAGTCTCCCATACACCCATGTTTTTATCCCATACCTTAGAATGGTTGGAACAGTGCTCTCCAATAGATAGTATGTGGAAGTCAAAAAATATTGCACTATCACTCATGCAAACTTGTGCGCTTACACACACTATAAAAACATTTGTATAATATGTATTTTTAATATATTTTCAGGAAAAATCATTCACATATAGCAGTATTCACGATCCTATTATTTTGGACAAGAAGGCATTTTCTCGGAAAGATCCTCAACCAGGTACTGTAATTGTTGTTTATAATAGGTAGTCTTTTAAGAGATCGGGTATTACCTGTTGTTCAGCATAAATTTAGCATCCAGACAGTATAGATATTTCCTCTAGTATAATGGTTCCCAATCTTTTTCTATGCCCCACACCCTAAGAAATTTGTACTGTATTTATATTTGCATTTGTACAAAAGTAATTGAAGTGATGAAGGGTTAATCTACAAAAAGAGTAAAATATGAGCTAATTTACCTGATCATAAAATCCATTTTGACATTTTGTCTAAACAATGCAAACAAAATAATTATAAATACAATTCAGTTGATATATTATGATATAAGACAGATCCAACAAGCAAAAATTATAAGCTGGTTTTGCCTGAGATTACAATGACATTTTTCTGAGAATTTGAGGTCCTGAGGAAGCAAGTGTAAGCCCCTTATGTGTTTGGGTGTTTAATTTTTTTTGATAGGCCTAAAACAACCCTGGTTGTGGTGCTCAGTGCAGGGATTAAAAGCTTTTGCATCATCTATCTTCTATGCCTGATGAGATACAAAATTAATATTTTTAGCAAATACTATAGCTTTAAATTTCTAAATTTATATACAAATTTTTACTTACATTTTGCTATCTGTGGGTAATTTTATTGGCAGGTATTGATTACACAAATTATGATGACATTGACTACGGCTTCCATCATCGTCTGAGACAGCCAAACAGAGGCTTGGGTTCACAGGTTGTTGGTGGAGGGTACCGAGGTGGGGAAGTGTCAGTGAAATGTGTTGATGCTTTGATGGCTCTCTTGCTCTGCTTTGTCAGTGTTTTGCATGATCCTGCCATAATTTATTGACTTGTAAATATTGTAGTCTGTATAAGTGTGTGCGTGTATGTGTGTGTATATAATATTATAATTATACACACACACACACACACAATGAATATAAAATATGTATTGTACCCAAAAGGCCAAGTTGCCTAATAAGCCAAATTTTCCTGAAATATTATATTTTTCAAAACCTTTTTCTTATGAAATGATAAATCTTTCCATTACATTATATATGATAAAAGTCAAAACTAATATACAAATTTGATCAAACCTCACCTAACACAACCTCTCCTCGCCTCGCCTGACCCGACCTCTCCTCTCCTTGTCTGGCCTTCTCCTAACGTAAATGTTTGCAATTCATGTTCCTAATATAATGTACAGTATTAATATTGTTAGGATAAAATCAATTTGGATAGAAATATTTGGAAAAAAAATGTTAGTCAAAATGGGCCTTGCATACTAGACCAAGTAGTTCCATTCCGTTTATAAGCCACATAGTGCTGTTCGTACCATTAGGTATGAAGTAAATATATATAAAATAGTCTAGTTTATTTGTTCTTAAATTTTTTTTTTTCCAAAGCAGTCAAGATGTGTTACCTTGTATATGGGTGTCCAATGCGGGGTGTAATATACAATCGTGAATTACTGCTGGCATCAGTTTTCATTTGCTACATTCTTTATTCCTTCTTTCGTCCACCCCATCCTTCACATTTTATTTTACTCCCGGTATATTCTCGTTTTTAATAAAATCGGAACTTTTTTTCGTCTGTTTCTAACATAGTTTCTCAATAATCTGTCTCTATAATCTGCTTCCTTTGTAGTGTTGCACTACCCCTGCAGCAGTGGTGTTGCAACAGCACTACTGTGGTACACTGTTACGACACCTCTGTTGTGGTGCACTGCCCCTGCTGTGGTACAGTGGTGCATGGCCCCTGCTGTGGTACAGTAGTGCAGGGCCGCTGCTGTGGTACAGAGGTGCACAACCTTTGAGGTGGCCCAATTTTCATTACCTTTTGTTGCAACATTTGTGTTGGGCCTCGTATCTAGCATGTAATAGTGCTGGTTGTATCTAGTTCAGTAAAGTTGATCATGCTCTTTGTCTTGCATTTTATCTTTGAATTGCATCACTTTTTTTTAACTTGCCTGATATTGGATGTAACTTGTGTTTTATGTACATAAAAGTATTAAATTGTTGTGTTGATGATTGTTCTCTCTACCTGAAACAATGTATAGCTATATCTTTTATTATGTATTTTTGTGGGGAGCCCCCCATCGACTCCCTGGAGCTATTGGACTGATACATGCTATGCAACATTAGTCTGGGGCTTCAGTCAATGGAATCCTGCCAGGGACCAGAGCTGGAACCTGGCCTTCCTCAGAGAGGCACAGGGAGCAATGGCTTAAGGAGACCCCATTGTATTTGGGGGTATTCCTTGCTTGCCATCGACTGGGGTTAGACACCCAGAAAGTTAGGCATCTCAAAACAAACCCCACATGGTAGAAATTGTAAAAACCCAAGACCGAACAGAGAAATGGAACTCCTGAAAAGAAAACAAAGAAAACCAGCAAACAAGCAATTGTCATTCACCGCCACTGCGCAGCATGTCTGAGCAGCCCCTCTTCCCTCTCAGGGTCGATTGTTATGCCATTCAAGAAGACCTGGACAGTAAGTGTATGGAGCACCACTTGGCAAAAAAATTTAATGTAGATAAATGCCATATTATGGAATGTGGAAATAGGAGAAAACAGATGACACAACCTACAAATTGTGAAAAAGCTTTACAAAATTTTGATAAAGGAAAAATCTAGGGGTGGTTCTAGGCAGAAAACTGTCACCTGAGGACCACATAAAGAACATTGTGTGAGGAACTTATGCTACGCTTTCCAATTTCAGAATTACTTTTAAATACATGAATGGTGGAATACTAAAGAAATTTCTCACAGCTTTTGAGAGACCAAAGTTGAAATATGCAGCTGTTGTATGGTGCTCATATCTTAAACACATCAACAAACTGGAAAGGTGCAAAGACATGCAACTAATGGCTTCCAGAACTGAGACAAGAGCTATGAAGAGAGGTTAAAGGCACTAAATATACCAAAACTAGAAATAGAAGAAAGGCGATATGATTGCTACGTACAAAATAGTAATGGGAGTAGACAAAATTGACAAAAAATTCGAAGCCTGAAACTTAAAGAACAAGAGGTCATTGATTTAAGTTAACTAAATACAACTGCGGAAGAAATATAAGAAAATTAACTTTCACAAACTGTGGTAGACAGAGCAAATTAAGTGGGAAGGCGGTGGAGGCCAAAACCATCAGTAGTTTCAAAGCACTATGTGACAGTGCTGGGAAGATGGGACACCACGAGTGTAGCTCTCATCCTGTAACTACACTTAATAAATTACTGTTAACAACTGCCTATATTCCTAGGGAGTTTACTGTGCTTGGAATATTAGGTGAGAGGCCCCTGTGCTTTTTGCTTGGATTATCTTTCGGGATCCAGCAAGACCTTTATAGTTTTCACAAGATTTATTATGGACTGGCACGAACTAAAGTTCACTTCCTGTGAATTTGGTATGCAATTTGAAGGGTTCAGTGGCAATAATATGATGTATTTTTTCGTACTAAGGATGGCTGTATTCCATAAATTGTTACATTATGCCTTGTCTCTTTGCTCTCATATTGGCCTTTTCATATGATATGTAGTATGTTTTGATTTTTCTCGTAGTGTTGGATAGATGTTGATAAATAGCCTTACAGACTTAACGCCTTCTTTTGATAATTATTTGCATTATACAATATTTTGTATTTGAATTCTTCCTTAAGTTGCCATAATATTAAAGCGAATATAATAATTATTATTCTGTTTTTAGATAACAGATACCCGCAGAAGCCTTCTACCTTTAGTTACTATGAAGATGGTAGCTTGCCTCAGTCTCCACAAGTGTCTCAAGGTCGTCAGATGAACCACGACACCCAGAAGCCAGTGTTGAGTGAAGCGCCAAGGAAGGAAAAGCAGTTGAAAACTTCAGGTAGGATAGTATTTATTAATGTAGCAAACTCAAAGCTTTACATGAGGATTCATTCATTCAACACACTAAATACATTTTGACCATACTTACTTTTATTAAGGATCTTTAAGAAAAAAAAAGGATGGATTCCAGTACTGTGAATTTTATGTAAAAAAAAAAAATAATAATAATAATTTACTGTACTGTACTTTGTAATAGTTTATTGACACATTGTACAAAATTTAAGGTGAAACTTGATAAAATAATAATTGTAACTGGTCATGCCATCTCTTTGAAAAATAGGCCCACTGACATTACTATGCCTAAACCTTATTTTATGCGTTAAGTTTATACCTATTATATAACCCTCATACTGTGTGGAAGCTTTAATCAGTGATTACTCATACACAGCTCCCTGAAAAATGACACCACATTAATTATGCTTTGCTGACCTGTGCCACATTAAGAGTTATATTTGTATTGGTTATGCTGCTTTCTCGTTCACTGCTCCAGTCACTTGAGAGCAATTGGCTGTCCAGCATTTGGAGACTGTAGAAACTCAGGTGATTAGAAACTCAAGCTACTGGAGAGTTTTTGGCTGGCAAGGCACCAAAGTTACACCTGACTCGGGTTAAGACAGAGAAGGTACAAGAACCCTGACTTACCCTGGGTAAGGGCCACCACAATCAAGGAGGACCTCTAAGGAAGCGACTCCCAAACACTCCAAAGAAGATAACTCTGACAATGTAAGAGCAGTGCTAGGGAGCACACAGGGAAGGTAACCCTGAGTACATGTAGCTTTAAGCTATACAAGCCAATGTGAACCTGACTTGTATAAACAGAAAAGACACTAAGGCAAAAACCCAAAATATTTTGCTGAAATAGAGGAGCCCACATTAGAGAGATGAACTGGAAAACCACTACAGCAGTCATCTCTCTTTTCTCTCTCTTTTTTTCTCTTTTCTCTTTCTCTCAACCAATTTATACATTACAATGAAAATAATTTATCCTGCACTGAACATGTATCTTAACAGCATATTTTAATTTCAGTATATCATTTAATTGAAAATTGGGGTCAGAAGGAGGTCAAATATGGACAAGTAGTTGCAGTTGCCATCGACTCCCATGGTGATGTGCTTGTTTTCCATCGAGGCGAGCGATCATGGGACGGCTCGACCTTCGTTGGTGATAAACTACGGGACACAAAGAATGCCATTGCTCAAGCAACACTATTACATCTGAACAAGAACAATGGTCAGATATTGCATGAGTGGGGAGAAAAATAGTAAGTCATCCTGAATACGTATTCAATGTCACTATTTTACTAATATTTAGAATGGGTATGGCTCAAGTTGTTAGTGTATTGCTTACTGTATTATTGTATGATGAAGGGAATAGCAAGTTGGATTATTGTGGTGCTGAAAATATAATTTTGATATCAGAGGTGCTGATAATATTAGTTTATATCAAAATTGTATTATCAGCACCTCTGATATTTTGATATAAAGTTGGAAGTTTAGTTATTGTTAGCAACTCTTTGTAAATAAAGGGAACATTTTTGTGGTAATGCCTTGGCTTCTACAATTATAAAAAGTATTCAAAGTCTATCTTGAGGTTATCTTGAGATGATTTCGGGGGTTTAGTGTCCCCGCGGCCTGGTCCTCGACCAGGCCTCCACCCCCAGAAAGCAGCTCGTGACAGCTGACTAACACCCAGGTACCTATTTTACTGCTAGGTAACATGGGCATAGGGTGAAAGAAACTCTGCCCATTGTTTCTCGCCGGTGCCCGGGATCGAACCCGGAACCACAGGATCACAAGTCCAGCGTGCTGTCCGCTCGGCCGACCGGCTCCCTATATAATATAATATAGGTCATATACAAACAATAAAAAGGTAAGTTAAAAAATGTACTGTATCATGATTTATCATATTAAGAATTAATTGATTACAAAACAAATAGTAAAAAAGGTGTGCTTACTGTTTAGATGAGTATGACATCAAATTTTACACATGGAGCTGCCTTATTTTATAAGCCACAACTGATGTCGGGAAGACGTTGGAGTTGCCCAGATAGCTGCCAGTTAACTATTGTTACCTAAATGCATACTGTGTACGGCATGATTGCAAAGCTGAACAGAGATCGACTCCAGACTTATAGGCTGTCTTAAAGGACTGGAGTAAGAGTACTGTAATAAAGGCGTGTGTTTATTTCTGCCTACAGTGCACAAATGCTGGCAAGTGCCAGACTAAGCTGAAGCAAAATTAAATCTTACTAACTACACTAAAGTATGGGGTTTTAATGAATAGTAAAATATCATCCAAAAATTAAGTAGCTTGTGTTTTTATGAGCTAAGCAAATAAAGCAAAAGAGCATCAGCATTTGTTGGTATAATTTAGTCACCTGCAATGTGAAAACATCACTACTTAGAAACAGTAGTTTTCTCGCCCCCAAAACTGTACATGATAGTTAGCAAACATTATATATTTTAATATACAGTATTGCATTTTATATATACTTTTTATATTATGGGATATGACCTCTAGTAATAAGTATGGAAGAATGTAGGCTGATATTTCAAGCATTAACTTTATGCAGTAGAAATTTGTTCAGATTACAGTGTTAATAGATTTAATAATGTTATGTATTTTGGCAGTTTCTTTATGCCACATGGTCTGACTGTGGACAAGGATGATAACATCTGGGTAACAGATGTTGGTCTTCATCAAGTTCTCAAGTTCCCTGCAGGATATGGCCAAGGACAACCAATCCTTACACTTGGCACAAGGTTAGTACAAAATATTTCTGTGAATTTTGCGTGACTAAACTGTGTAGCCCGATTACACTATATACTGTACATATGTTATATATAACTATCACTTTTGTGTGTGGCATTATGAACCACAGAGATTGTGTGTTGAGAGTTTATACACACAACAATAATCGAAGGTCAGCCAATAGTCGTGTGGCAGGGGCTGCCCCAGTACATTTTAACATACAGTAATTATTTGTCTGTGAATGGTTTCATATCTATTTGTTTGCAGCTATATTATTCAATAATGTGTAATTTGTGGAATTTATATAGTTAAATGTGTGCAACATCACTATTCTCAAAAATATTAGCCTCGTATATAGTGACACTTGTATTACATTCTGAGAACAACCAACAGTGTTTTTACTGAGATCGTTTCTTGATGCGTAGATGTAGGAAACAATGGCCGGATGCTGTGGCTCTCTACCTCATGCTGTGAATATCATAACTAATATTGTATTCTCTGATATCTGAACATTGTACATAGTCTTTGACAGTCAGAATCATCTATAACACTATCAATGCAAAATAATTAGTTACTTATTCATCATTACTAAGTGGTGCAGTGCATCGATTACTAGTTGTACAGTGGTCTGCTCCTGCATGAAATATGATTAGATATGGTGTCTGTTTACCGGATTCCTTTGAAACAGGAATTTTGAATGCTCCCTTTAAATTCAGATCAGGGTCTTAAAGATGTTTTAAATTCTGTAGTGATGTAGTTTAAGTAGGAGGTTGTGATTTTAGGTATCAATCTTTTCTCAGGTTAATGAAGAGGCCAATTGGGAATTAATTTTTGTCAGGAGCTGTGTAGATTAAGTCAAATTAATGACATCCTTGATACTTTTTTTTTTGGGGGGGGGGGTGATCTGAAGCTAAACTGGCAGGAGCTTAGTACCTGTATGTTGAACTACATTAAGTATCTCATATTTTTATGTTGATGACCAGTGGTTTAAATATTAATTGGAACATGACTGCATGTTGTTTTTACACCCTATAAATCCTAGAAGGAACACTGTAACTAGTGATTAAAACATTAATTGAAGATTCTTGCACTGTTTACAACCTGAAGGAAATAAACAATTCATTCAGTCAGTAAGTAGTTGATATCTCTGCACTGACTCCAGGTGTGTTAGAAGATAGTTGGTGGTGCAATTATTAATGATATGGTATTGCCTCACCCATCTTGGAGGAAAAAAGATGGCCTCAGGATCAAACATTACTAGGAATTTGTGAACATATTCCATTCCTCCTGCTGTAGGAGTGGAACCCAGGACCTTTCTGTTGAGACCTGTCTCTGCTGACCACTGTGCTGCAGAACTGTGTTGTAAGTCCTCGTTTGAAAAGGAGATTTACTGGAATTGTTTTCAGAGAGCCGTAAGGAACTGGTAACTGTTCATAAAGTTTTGTAGCAAAATTTTTCTAGCTATTCATTTTTATTTTTCAGATTTGAGCCAGGAAATGATGATACTCACTTCTGTAAGCCAACAGGAGTAGCTGTCATGAAAAATGGAGAATTCTTTGTTTCTGATGGCTATTGCAATTCTAGAGTCATCAAGTATTCTGCCGATGGCAAAATTCTCTTCCAGTTTGGAAAAGCTAGCAATAATCTTGGAGGCAAGTGATATTTAAATATTTTTAACATTTAAAATTTTATACGTAATACTGTATTACATAAACATTAATTTATATTCTACCTTTCCTTGCAGCACCATTCTGTTGATCCACAAAATGCTAAAACAGTACTGTAGAGAGATTGGCAATGTTGCAACAAGACTAGGAAAAAAGGAAAATAATTTTTTGTGCTTTCCCTTCGAACTGGTATAGATGATGGAAATGATAGGATGGTCAACATCTTAAATGGCAATGAAAACCAACCTGTTATCTGCATCACCACTCATTGGAAATGATATAGGTTAACATAAGTGTGAGGAATTTTTTGGCAATTGTAGGGTAGTTCTAGATAGAATTAGGTCTATGGGGTATTCTAATCTTTCTTCCTAGAAGAAGAGTTGGAAATGATGAATGACCTATTTCTATGGCTATTTATGTCAATTGGCAAGTAGTAAAAATGGTTTACAATCAGTCAGGTGACTGTCCTTATCGAGGCCACTAGGGTTAGTGGCCCTCGGGTAAATCAAAGATTTTATGGCTAATGCAATATTGGCAGCTGAAAATACTTTAAAGTACTGGTACAGTATATGGTAAAATTTACGCAAGGAATCTGGTGCAGGATGGCAAAATATTAAAGAAATTGTTCACCCATCTTTGTGAGACCAAAATTTAACATGCTGTGGTGGAATTGCGCCCATATCTCAAGAAACACATCAATAAACTGGAAAGGATGCAAAGGCATGCTACAAAATGGCTTCCAGAACTGAAAAACAAGAGTTACAAGGAAAGGCTAGAGGCGTTAAATGTCAAAGATAGAAGAAGAGATAATATGATCACCACTTGCAAAGTAATTACAGGAATTGACCAAACTGAAAGAGGAATTCCTGGAATCAGCAACTTCATGAACAAGAGGTCACAGATTCAAGCTAAGGAAACAGAGGTGCCAAAAAAAATATTAGGAAGCTCTCTTTTTGCAAACAGATTGGTAGACGGTTAGAACAAATAAAGTGAGGTGGTGGTGGTGGTCAAAACTGTCACTATTTTCAAAAGTTACACTAGAGTACCGTACTGGGAACACAGGACACCATGAGCATGGCTCTCATCCTGTAACCACACTTAGGGAATTACACTCAAGTAATTACATCACATCCTTGCATACCTTTATTAAAAAAATATGCTGGATAATTTAGGTATTGAACTATATTTATAAAAAAATGGAAAATTTCCAACTTTTCCCATCCAGCTATATGACTGGGCTTTACTATATTTCTCCTTTGCAGGCTTCATGATTGGCACACCTGCTCCAGGAACATTCAGTATTCCTCATGCACTTGCACTTGCCGAAGACCAAGGAGAGGTGTGTGTGGCTGACCGAGAAAATGGAAGAGTACAGTGCTTTACTGTTTCACAGGGAAAATTCAGGAGAGTATTTCAGTATGATGACTGGGGAGGTCGTCTATTTTCAGTCGCTTATACCCCTGCATTTGGTAATTATCAGACTGTTTCAATTGTTCAATGTAGATTTATGAGAACTACTGAAACATAAATACTAGTACACACTATTTCTTTAAACCTTAAAAGTGCATTATCACTACATGTTGATTCCTGGGGGTAATGAGGTTATCATATATTGATTTTACTTATCACCCAGTTCTTATACAAAATATGTAAATATGGTTGTAATCCGTCCAGATGGATGTACAGTAATGCAATTACCCTAGACCCATGAGAAATTTTTTGCTGTAAATTTTAATTACCTACTGTCAGTAAGGTTATCTTGTACAAGAAGTCATCAGCGATTATCATCGGATCACAATTTGGTGTTTCCTGCCGGTGTTTGAATCTGGATGACATTACCAGACATTGGCAGCAAACTCTCAACACGACCAAGTTATGAGCTCAATTATAAAAATTGTCTGAACTAATAACTACTGTATTTTGTTGGGGGCTTAAGGATGGTAGTACATAATGTTAGTGTTCATATTATTATGTTATTTGACAACTGTTCCTTGATACTTCTAGGTGGAAAACTGTTTGCTGTCAATGGTCCACAAATGCTAGGCATTTCTTTGAAGCTATCAGCGTTTGAAGTAGATTATACCTCGGCTAAACTTAAAAGTTCATTTAGCCCTAACAATCAGGTAAGAAACTATAATATAAATTTCTTTATATAAAGATTTTTTTTTTTAATTCATGTAAAACTTTAGTAGTATTATCAGCACTCATGGACTGAACAAAGTAAATATGAATGTGTATGTGAGGAAAGGAGGGGATGCTGTGTTTTGGGCAAGTGTAATTTACTTAAATTTACCCGAGGGCCATTAACACTAGTGGCCTTGACAAGGATAGGAAGCCGGTGGCTTGTCAAAGGCCCCTTCCTCATTGCCCTGATTATCTTTTCCAGTTTGATTTTAAAATTTAACAGCATTTTGGCATTTATGTTTTCAGCAGTTAGGCAGTTCCATGGGTTTATAACCCTGTGGGTGAAAAAGCCTCCTCTGTTCTCAATCCTATATTTGTGGCTTGCTGAGCTTGCAAACATTGCTCCTTGTTTGTGTTACATCTAACCTTTTTAAAGAAATTGTCCAGATCAACATCCTCCAAATGGTTCAGTATTTGAAACGTTTCGGCGAGATCTGCCTGGTTTGCTGTGTTTAGTCCTGTTGCCCTCAACCGTTCCTGATACAAGAGCCGATTTATCTCGGAGATGATTTTTGTAATTACTTAGGTGTTGCTACAGGAGGAGCTATGCTTGTTTGTATGTATGTTGGATGGGGGAGGTCATGTGTAATTACCTAAGTGTAGTTACAGGATGAGAGCCATGCTTGTGATATCCCATCTTCCCAGTACTGTCATTTGACGCTTTGAAACTACTAACGGTTTTGACCTGCACTGCCACCTCACTTGTTCCAACTGTCTACCACTGTTTGCTAAAGAAAACTGTCTTAATAATTTTTTTGTACCTTTCTTTCCTTAGCTTGAATCTATGGCCTCTTGTTCATGAAGGTGCAAGTTTCAAGAATTAATTTTGAGGATTCCTGTTATCATTTCGTATGTGGTGATTATATCGCCTTTTTTTTCTTCTTTTTCTTCTAGCTTTGGCATATATAATGCCTCTAACCTCTCCTCGTAGCTCTTGCTTTTTAGTACTAGAAGCCATTTCACAACATACCTCTGTACCTTTTGCACTTTATTGATGGGGTTTTTGAGATATAGGCACCATACAACCCCTGTGTATTCTAATTTTGGTCTCATAAGTCATAAGCCATTTCTTTTATATTTCACCGTCCATATATTTTAGTGATTCTAAAGTTGGAAAGCATAGCATATGCTCCTTCAACGATGTCTTTTGTGTTCCTCTGGTGACGGTCTACTATCCAGAACCACTCCTAGATCTCTTGCTTTGTCATTTCTTTAATGCTTTTCCACATAATTTGTAGGTTGTGTGGGGCCTATATTTTCTAGTCCACATTCCATAACTTGGCATTTATTAGCACAGAATTGCATTTGCCAAGTTTTGTTCCATACATTATTTCTTCCAGGTTTTCTTGAAGGACATGGTAATTATCCGAGTCTTTATCTTCCTTAGTAGCTTAGCATCAGCAGCAGACATGTTAATATAGTTATGTATTCCTTCTCGTAGGTCACTTGTATAGACTTGTGAAGATTACTGGTGCAAGAACTGAACCTTGTGGTACTTCACTAACAACACTTTTCCAGTCTAATACATTGCCTCTGATTACTGCACTCATCTTTGTTAGAATATTTTTTGTCCATGTCAGCAGTCTGCTTGTCACCACCTCATTATCCAGTTTCCAAAACAACCTAATGTGGGACTCTGTCGGAAGCCTTTTTAAGTTACAGATAAACACAATCAATCCAACTATGTAGAATCTGTGTGTGGCTCTATCATAAAACTAAGTGGGTGTGTTAGAATGATGTTCATGTATAAAGGTGAGTACATGTGACTGAAGTTAACTGGATTGAGGTATCAAGTTGAAAGAGTATACAAGATGTGCTCTAAGAGCTAACAGTTAAAAAATGATGCATTGTGATGTGTGCGGTGGACACCCTACATGAACTGCTCCTTTGTATCGCTGAATGTTATGATATTACAGTAGTAGTCATTTATTATTCACAGTTCATTATTTTATTAGTAAAGATGCTCAAATTATGTCGTCCAAAATATTGCAAACATTTATGTTTTCAGGGTTTCAGTAATCCACATGATATTGCTGTGTCTGATGATGGATATGATGTTTATATTGTGGAAATTGGCCCAAACAAGCTGTGGAAGTTTGAGTTAGGTAAGTTCAAATTAATTTCTTTACACTAATAACATTGGCAAATCTTTCTTGGGTAAGTGTGTTTTTTGAGAACCTGTTGTATTACACATTTAGATATGACATAAGTAGTTGTATCACCACTTAGTATTTTAAACACCATTTATATTTAGTTTTGCCTTTACACTATAACCTTTTGTGCTAGTTGAAAATGTCAGATAAAATATTTAGACATTATGCAGTTCTTATATAATGACAAGAATCTTTTATAACTTAATTTGAATGTTATATTTTTTTTTTAAATGGAACTTGAATGCAAAGTTATGATAGCATTTAACAAGTGAACTTAAGATGTAAATTGACTTTAGGTTTAGAATTCCCTTCATGGTATAGTTGTCATGTCATTCTTCCCTTATTACAGGGATGGCACTCGCCGCCATCTCGTTTAGTTTTTTCCATTCATCTATCACGCTGCATGCAAAGAAAATTTTTGTACTCTTTCATTACTGTGCCTGTGTTTTTGTATTTTGTCCTACCTCTTCTGTTTCTTGGTGTGGCTTTTTTCAATTTTCTTTAAATTTTGATCATAAAAAGGTCAAGCCCTTTCCAAATCTAGTATAGATTATTGAAATAAATTAGAGGTTAATTCTGCTTTTATTACCCAATACTAATACCGGTTCTTAGATACTATAAAGAGACTGATACTCGGATACTGATACCTGGTATGTTAAATGTAAAATGTTAAACTTCAGACATAATGCTTCTCGTGATCTCAGGATCTATAAGAAGACATAGTAAACTAGTAACACTCGGTAATTGTAAAACAGAGGGCCACGTGCTTTACGGTTCTCCTGGGGCTGAGAATGAACAGATAACCTGTTGTCTGTAAAAGCGGTTCATCATCTTGAAAATGTAGGAAATTTTTTTTACAATTTTATGGAAAAAATCTACAGTATTGCATGGGTATTTTGTTTGTATTTGTAAAGATGTACAGTATTTGTATAAGAATTTCTGATCCACTTGCAAACTTAATTTTTATTGTTGATGTTTAATTTTGTGAATTGTTGTAGAGAATTGTTGTTTAGATGGAAGAGGTGGTGGTTGATGGTGTTGGGTTGACTGAAGTGGAGATTAATAGTGATGAGGTAACTTCAGATGCTGAGGTGTTTTGGTCAACATGTGATGAGTCAGGTGCAAGTGGTGCAATGTGAGCTTCCTTGGAAACGTTCACAAAAAACTCTTCTGTTGAAATGTTTAATTCCCTTTGGAATAAATAAGGATTATAAAAAAGTCCTTAACTGTTCCTGGCTGATTATTGAGACATCTGGTAAACATTCTCCGATTGGTTTCTGACGGGTTCTTTGGTTATTGATGCTTGGCTTGTCATAGCATATGATGCACCCACAGCTGAACAAGTGGTGGCTCTGAATCTACCCTCGTGCCACCGATTTTGCCTTGGTGGATGCCATATGGGTTGGGCCTCTTACTGTGGCCCCCCCATGTTCCAAGGCTCGTCTATATCAGGTCGTCTGCAGTGTTAGGTCTGGGCCAGCCTGTTTCTTCCTTCGAGCCTATGATGTTAGAAAGTGTGCCGCTCTCAGTGGTGTTTGCAAACATGACCAGGGCTGATATTCGAGCACAAGCGTCTTGGTCGCCAAATAGGGTTCTTGCAGCCCAGTATCTTGTTAATATTCTTTGGTCCCAGCTACCTTGTGTGACTTTGGGTTGTATCTCTCTGCTGAGTGTTGACTCTGCCTTGAATCCTGCAGTGCTTCTTCCTCCTGGGTACATATTCAGGCGTTTCCTTCTCCTGGTAGTTAGCTTCAGGGAGCCTCTGAGGCTCACCCAGAGGCTTTCCGCTTCATTACATTCAACTTTTTTTTATTATTGCTGTCTGTGATGTTTTCCATTGCTGTTATATTTTATTGTCTGTCTCTTGTTTATTTTTTTTTATCACACTGTCACATTTTAGCAGTATAGTACAGTTACTTTGATAATATTGGCCACAATTTTCCCACTATACTGGAGGTAGAAGCTTTAATGTATTATTCTCATGCTAATATGAAAGTGTTCATGATTAGCATGCATGAAGAGTATTTGATAGTGTATAATTTATAACATAAGTCATTCATGCTATAAGTAACTCTAACTCTACATCAGAGGCCAGATGTTGTGATGATTGTTTATTTTGTCCCAGACGAGACTGCTTCGCCTTCCACCACACAAAAGCCAAGTCTGCTTGACCGTGTCTCCAACTTTTTCTCATTTACTCTTTCATAAGATTTTTATTATACATGTACTTTAGTAATGAATTACGTATAATAAAATATTGACTTCTGTTATTTTTTGTGATTGTTTTTACAATACAGTATTTGCATATTGTAGGAAAATTGGTTTATGGTTTCTGATTATTTTTGTGTTAGTATGAGTTATTTTCAGTTAGTGTGATGTAGGAAACTTTTAAATATAGGTGTGTAAAAAAATTAAAAGTACAGTATTTGTAGATCTGTAGATGTGGAGGAAAGTTGACGTCTAATGCATTATTGTCCAGTCTTTCCACCCTCTTAGGTTCTTGTTAGAAATATACAGTACTCTAATTTTTTTGTCAGGTTGTGTAACTATTGATTTAAAATGTCATATTACAAAAAATAACAGTTCTGGAAAAAGTTCAGTGGAGAATAACAAAAGTTGTCTCTGGACCAAATTTACCTCAAAGACCCGGATACCCTGTACCTGTACATTGAGGACTACGAGACTGAGGGCTCTTCAAGCAAGACATGGCAGGCCTGATCTTGGACATTTGAAGTATATCCTGAAAAAACTTGACAACTGGAACTCTGACCTTTTCAAGACGTCTTGCATAGCATTTCTGAAAAGCTAAATCAAAAAGCTTCCCAAGCCACAGTGTAAAATAAACAAGAAATGCTATTAATCCTAGAGTGATAAACCTGTGGACTAGTCATCCTACTTAATATGTTAAAGCAAGACAGGTGCCTTGCTTTAATGTATAAAATAAAGGAACCCTTCGCAATCTGCAGACTTCATCATAAAAAAAAAAAAAATTAGTCAATGCTCTCAGTATCACGTTTTGAAACTAGAGAGAAAATTTCATTTACTGTATCTAGGTCCATCTTTTAAAGTCATCTCGCTAAACCCACAGAAGGAAAACTGGACATAGCTATCATAGCTAATTTCAGTTAGTGCTAATAATTTATCACTCGCTCTTTTATCATACGTTCTTCTCTCACTTTCTCCTCCAATTATTGTTATTTATTATAATTGTATTTAAAGAAGCATTTTTTGTCATAGAATATTATTTAAAGTATTATTATTTAATATTATTTAATATTTAATACTAACATTATTTAACATTATTTAATATTTAACATTTGACATTATTTAACATTATTATTTAAAGAACATTGTGAAATGTTCTTTAAATAATTTTTCTCCAGATAGTTTATTAAAATTAGTGGTTACTTTATTAATTTGTTTCCGCACAGTATTCAGTTGATTGTATTTAATTGATTAATATGCCATATTTTCCTGCATATAAGACATACCTACATATTGCTAGTATATTTTGCATTTTTTTTTTTAATGGTTTCATTATAAATTTATTGAAAGTGATTTTAAAGTGGAGCTACACTATTATCATTCTCTTTGACAAAAGTTACAATATTGAGCATAATCTTAATGTTATAAGTGTTCTATCTTCTGGAAAATATGGTTATTTATTTGTTTTTAATTAATTTATTGCTTTTATTTTGTTGATTGTTTTTACTTTTCATGATAAATATAAATTTAACATTGTTTATTATTATCCTGTGCGGTCTATATATTTTATAGGTGTTCCACTTAGATGCCTCGTAAGGCATGATCACGTCATGTTCTCTTGGAGAGAATCGTGATTGGGTAGGGTAATGGTTCACACTGATACAGCAGCGATCTTTGAAAATAAATTTGCTGCATGATACTAGGGTTAGGGGGAGATTTTATGAACTCAATCTGCCCGAGTTACCATGCGAGGTTAATTCATAAACAATCAAAGCCCGTCTGGTTTCATGTGGCCCTGCTTAGATAGTGAGCATATTCCTGGGTTAGGGGGAATTGTCTTATTCTCTGTTCAGTTTTTAGCATTATGATCTTTAGCTCCACAGAAATTATGGATCATTGCACCAGTGGTGAATGACCATATTCTGGTGCTTCAAAACTCCTCTATCATATGTTCTTGTGGTTCAGGCTCAACAAGATGTGAAGCTCTTCCTCCTAGACACAGGGATTGGATTTAACACTGCTTAACTTATTTCATCCTTTAGTTCTTGGCTTCAATAATGGGTTCCTGTTTCCTGTGTGTCAATGGGCAATCTTCTGTTTTCAATAAAAATGTGGCTGCCGTTTTTTAGGTCCAATGTCTTCTAATGGAAATTAAGAACAATGTCCTCTTCTCTTTTTCATCTATAGATTGAATTTTAGCCACTTTGTGTGGATGCTTCCTTAACTTCAAATGCAATATGCAGCTATTCTTGAATAGAGAAAAAGTTGTTCACTTTGTGACATGACCAAATGCATTGAGAAATACTTTCACATCCTAAAATGTTTATCGAGACATCTGACCTGTAGAACAGGAGTTTGAACTTTGTAGCCATTTTGTAACAATAGAGGAAAATGTCCGTGTGGTAGATCTAAGTGAGTGGAATAAATAATTCGTGTTAAAGAATTGTTCATAAGGTATCCTTTGAAGATGCTTGTCGCATTTTCTTTTGAACACTGCAAGAGGTTGGTCAGTTATGCCCTGTATGTGTAGGGGAAGTGTGTTGAAAAGTCTTGGGCCTTTGATGTTGAAAGTTCTCTTTCAGCATGCCTATTTCACCTCTGCTTTTCAGTGGGGCTATTTTGTAAATCTTGCCATGCCTTCTGGTCTCGTGTAGTTTATTTCTATGGTCAGATTTGGAACCAGTCCTAATATTTTCCAAATGTAAATAAATGTCTTCTCCCACCTACACTCAAGGGAATAAGAATAATTTTTTTTTAGGTGGTCCCAATAGTTTGACATTTTGTTAGAGTGGACTGTAGCAGTAAAAGATCTTTGCACACTCTCCAGGTCAGCAATTTCTCCAGCTTTGAATATGTAAACAAATGATAAAAAATGTTACAAAACTAGCATCTTATTTGCCCCACCCTTTCCCTCGTTTAGGGGGTACGAGAGGGGCAGGCCACTGCATAGGCTGCCTCACCATCAGTTCTCTTCTGATGTGTGACAGATCTGCCACTGTCACTCTGGCCCCTGTGTTTTCTTGTGTTTTCCTTTTCCTTGGTGGCTGCTCCTTGCCTGTTTGTGTGCATAGGTCAGGAGTTTAGTGCACTTGTAGTTGCATGTGTTTAGGGTTCTCTTCCCTGGGTGCTCCCTTGTGCTTCCAGGATTCTCTTCCCTGTAGTGTTCATGTGACGGTTAATTAGAAGTGCAGCTCGCATGTGGTGGCCTTCACCTTGGGATGAGTCTCAGGTTCTGAGCTTCTGTCTTTGCCCCAGTTGGAGTGTCTTGGCTGGTAGGGGTGCAATAGGTTGCATGCAAGATGCACTCAACGTGCAGAGGCAGGGTTTCCCAGTCATCTTAGCCAGGCTGTGTTAATTTTCATAGTACTTTTTAAGACTACCAGCATACTGTCCCAGTGTCAGGGTGTCCTGTTTGGATAGTACCCTTCAGGCTCTGGTAATTTCTTACGGGTTCATTGGCCGTGGATGTTCCTCCCATCCCTGCTCTCACTATGTGCAGGTTTTAAGGGGACACATTGTCAAAGCCACATGGCAATGTTCATTCGTTCTGCCTCTGCTATGCTGTCTGTTGGGTCTGTGACACTTTCAACCCTGAGTCGTGCGGAGAGTGCTCCTGACACGTCACTCTCTTTTACTAGCCCTCCTGATGATGATCGGCTTATCTCGTAGCAATTATTGAAAACAGTTAGGTTTTCTGTGCTGCAGCATTCTAGGTTGTGTGCTATTTGGAAGTGCCAAAGCTGACTCGAGGAGGACATGAATTCACTCGGTGGTCGTCCTCTTTCAGGGATTTTGGCTGCAGCTGTGGCATTGTCGGCAGCTCTTCCAAAGCTATATGCTCCTGTTCAGTGGGATGTGGTGGCCATGTTGTGCTCTGTGTGGCTTGTGTGTCAGCAGACTGTACTGGCTCTTTGGATTCAGTTTGGGCCCCTCGCCCTCCTTTTTGCCTCCCCCTTTTCTCCACTTCTCTTTTCGGAGGATACGGTGGCTCGGTTATTGTTTTCGACCATTACGTCCTGTCACCCTATTCAGGACATTCTTTTCCTTAGGTGGGGTTGATCTCATTCTTAAAATGTGGTCTGGGTGGGTGGGGGCTGTGCCTGGTGTTGGTCGAGGTGGAACATCTGTGGAGCCAGTGGCTGGGTCCCAAATGCTTCCTGTGGTTGCTTTGTCTGGGTCTTATTCTTGGACCTATCCTATTTCTCATACAGTATATGTAATTGATCTTCTAGAGGGAATAGACTTGTTCCTCCCAATGTTTGCTGCTAATGCAAAAATTATGAGAAGGATTCAGAAGATGGCAGCAAAAGGCTAAAGGATGACCTGGACAAACTGAAAGCATGGTCTAACAAATGACTACTGGAGTTTAACTCAAGTAAATATAAAGTAATGAAGCTATGAGAAGGGAGATGAAATCCTCCAAGAAATGGATAGAGAAGTATCTAGGGTGTAAGGCTAGGTATTGAAAGCCGTACCCTACAGTATGACTAACAAAACCTGTTCTATAAATCTAATAAATAATGGAAGAGATTAAATATAGATATTTACAGTACAGGGTACTCACAAAAAGCACTTTAAACCGACAACAATAAATCTGATTATACACGGGACAAGAAATACACCTTGGGGTACAAATTCACAACTGGGTTTTATTGAGCAACACTGGATTATTTTTCACTGGATAAGTACTCTGTTATGTTACAGGATTGTTGGGAAAAAGGAGGATTCTTTTCAGGTCCCCATGCAGCTCAAGATCTCAAGATAAGCTCCATGCCCAAGTTCATTTGTTGGCGGTGCTTTTAGTGGATGATTTTCACCCCCGTTTGCATTTCGGTTCCATCATGCATTATGCACAAGGTCCAACTACTGTACTAACCTTCCCCAGGATGCAATCGCACAACAGTTGCCTAACTCTCAGGTACCTATTTAGTGCTAGGTGAATAGAGGCAATAGGTGAAAGGAACATGGCCAAATAATTTCTGTCCCAGGGATTCAAACCTGGGATTTCTGATTGTAAGTCAAGAATGAATCCAGTTGCGCTGTAATTATTACTATTATGTACTGTATTTAGTGTTCCTAATTTACCGTGTCATTCAACTCGACCCACATATGTAACGGAATGAAATTTACAATGTTTTGGGATGTTTTAGACACCGAGTCATCACTTTCATTCCATTTTAAAGTGTGGGTTGAATTAGTTGATTCAGCCTCACTATTCTGACTCTCTGCCTACTGTGTCATCATTTACTAACCCTGAGATTACGAGAAGCATCATCTTAATAAGATGTAACATTTTTACAAAATATTAAGTATTGTGAATCATTAGTATTTCTATTGTGTTGATGTATCGGGAACAAGTAATAAGATGGTATCGGTTAAAATATTGGTTTTGAGGTGTAGAAAATAATAATTTTTTTCCTATTCACCTCTACATGGGATTTATGCAACTTTTTCTGGTTTGGGATGTAATATAATAAAGCTTGCAACATTTTGTTTTGACTTGTATGAATATTCTTATTGTACATATGATTTAAGGTATTGTATTTTTTTCATATTGACAGACTCTGCTATGAAGGTCCACAGCAAAACTGTGAATGCGTCAGTATCTCCCAGTACGGTAATGAAGATTGATGATCTTTTTAAAGGTTTGTAGATATTTATCAAAGCATTCATTTTAATATAATCTTTGTTCTGTACTTTAGTTTTGACGGCATACTCTACCTTTTCATTGTACCGTATTACATTTGAAGGTCCTGGTAGTACAGACAGGTTCATTCTCGAGACACAATCGAGAATTCCTGGTTTGAATCCCGGGTGGGACAGAAAGGGTTGGACACATTTCCTTTTGCCTAATGCCTCTGTTCAAGTAGTAGCAAGTAGGTACTCAGGAGTTGGTTAGCTTGTTGTGCGGTTGCATCCCGGGCAAGGTCAGTAATTCAACCTTGGGGGAGGGGGGGGAAGCTAGATAAAAGCCTAACGTGTATGAATACTGTACACTGTCTTCCTGTCCCCCAACACAGTGAATTATTATTATTTCAGGGTACATTTTTTACAGTAATCACTGCATGCTTGCAAATTTTCCTGTGCTTGAATTAATCAAATAAAAAATATGGTAATTTTTATTTTTGTTCCATTAAATTTTCTTCCTTGCTCCTCTTTCATTTCTTTTGTTCTGCTTCACATAAGTTTTCTTCTGATAATTCTCCATTCTTCTCTATTTTTTCCCATCAGTTTATATGTATAAAATTAACCTATTAATTATGAATGAATTTGGGTGAATATATATGAGCTGCCTCGTATGAGCCAATAGGCCTTCTGCAGGGTCCTTTGTTCTGGTGTCTTGTCCACTTACTCATTCCACATGGCATCTCCTCTAATTCTTGTTCATAGAGAATTCTATCAACATAAAGAGCCCAACATTTTTCAACACTCTTCCTCCACACATACAGGACATAACTGGCTGGCCTTTCAGTGTTCAAGAGAGAACTCAACAAACACCTCCAAAGAATACCTGATCAACTAGGTTCATATGTCAGGCTGAGAGCAGCTGCATCCAACAGCCTATTTGACCAGACTACCAACTGGAGGCCTGGTCGGAGACTGGGCTGGAGACCATGATTGTCAAAAGGCAGTTTGACAAACCACCTGTATAGGCGGTTTGCTTGTTTATCGTTCCAAATCTTTTGGTATTTGCTTTGAGTGTGTTTCTCTAATGCACTATTTGTATGGACTTAGTCTATTATTAACTATGAGCTGCATGTGAATAATGACCCTTTCCTAGGCACTCATCTAGCATTAGTCTATTATTAACTATGAGCTGCATGTGAATAATGACCCTTTCCTAGACACTCATCTAGCATTGCCCCTGCACTGTCAGTTACTTCTCTAGTGTGTTTGGAAGTTAACCCCTGAGAGGCCAGGCCAACTGGGGTGGAACGCCTCGCCCTGGGTAGTGCATGAATCGTTGACTCCTCTGTCTATGGCCAGGATATTCCTTTCTTCCAAGTGAGTGGGGAAGGTGGGGTAAACAAGTTGACACTAGTTTCGAGGGATTCGATTATTTGTTTACATAGTTGGGAGAATTCATTAGGTGGGTTGTCAGGCTTTGGTGTCTTTTGAACCCAGTAGTGGTTCGTTTTCAATTGCCGGCTTTCTGGATGGCTTACCTGGTGAGGGGTCAAAATGTCACCGCTCCCTGCATCTCTGTGAGGGAGGTGGGGAAAGCCAGATTCTGCCTCTGGTCCCTGGTAGGTGTAAAAACCCCACAGCTGATGCAACCTGGTAGATGGTAACTATCTCAGTGTATCGCTCCATGGAGCTACTGGTGCCTGCTCAGAAAAAGGTTTTCATTACATTCAATGCTGTTTTTTTCTGGCAGAACATTTTTCATCTACAGTATCCCAAGTCTCCCTGTCACCCCTCCAGTATATTCGTTTCCAGAACGTCTTATGTGGTGCTCTGTCAAAAGTTTTTTTTTTAAGTCCAGATAAATGCTGTCAACCCATCTATTTCTTTCCTGTAAAATTTCTATGGCTCTATAGAAATTTAGTAGATTTGTTAAAAGAAAAAAATAGTCTTGTCTGTTATTACCTGTGTATCATTTCTCTGCAGGTAATCTATTTATTTGGTTTAATTACTTTTTCTAGTTATGTGATTACCACGCTTGTCAATGATACAGGTCTATAATTGAGCATTTCATTATAATCAACCCTGAGTTTTAAATAGACCATGAAACTCCCTCTGAACATCTTGAATAATTCATTATTGAACTAACTAGTATTGTTTCAGACAGCACAGTTTCAAAATATATTGTTCATACAAAGATTAAAGAGAATAAGAGACATCATGAGCATAACTTTCTGTAAGAACACTTTGGTAATTACACGACAGTAATGTCTTGCCATAGACCTCGCCTTGGATTGCATTTGTCATATTCACTTACTGGTGGTACTATAAGTAGGCCACATTGAAAAATAATTTCTGGACCATGAATAGTTTAATGCATTTTTAAATTGACTGTAATGATAATTTACCACAAAACCTCACCTGGGATTAATAAAACAGCCTCATCTGCTTATTGTTGATACCATCATCGGGATGTACTAAAAGACGTTACAGCAACCAGACTTTAGTCAAGAAATGTGGCGGGAATGATTGCCAATAAATATGTGCTTATTTTAATAACAATAATCCTAACTTTTTACTTTCTTTTGATTCAGGAACAGCTAAAGCAGTGAAAATACCAGTTGTGTTTAGTAGCAAATGGTCTTCTGCAGGAGTGTCGACAGTAATATTGGGACTTTTGGCTGTCCCAATAATAGTTCTTACTGCGTTCGCCCTCATCATACGTGCTCGAAGAAATGGTCAGTATAAATTTTTATAACTGTGGTGTTAATTAAATATATAAATATTCAGCTCATCCTCCTGTTTTGGTAGTACTTATAGGAAGGATGATAACCATTGTATATATACAGACATACAACACAATTAGAAAGTAGAAATCAGTGCTATTGAATTTGAACAAACTGGAAAATGATTTTGTTGCAAAGACCAACTAAACTAACTTAACATTCCTAGTCCTAATACATGCTGAGGCCTAATATAGTACATGTGTGTTATACTAGGCCTAGGAATATTTAAGTTTGTTTTTAAGATTCATTTTTTCAGACTATAAAGTAAATATTATAAATTTCTACTATCTAATTGCTTAGTATGTCAATGTTTGTACTATGTGGCGTACAGTTACAAAAAGTACTATCTAAATAGGAGGATGGGTTGAAATATTACTTTATAATGTCAAGACTTATTTTTAAAAATTACTTCAACAGGTCGCTTCCGAATGCGAAATATGCATAATGGATCGCTAAGTGCATCAATACGTGGATGCTCGGGAAAACATGAAAATGGTTTAGGGTTCCGCTCCCTGCTTAACAAAAACCACGGATTTGAGAAAGTTGCAACTGAAGATTTAGATCATGATGCACCAGATTCAGGTGATTCCGACATTGAAGAATTTTCTCAAGTTGCAACTAAAGCGTGAAGTTTTATGTTTTTTAATTAATATCAGAAAATAATGGTGTATGAAAAAGTATGCTATTAGTATGTTTGTGAAATTTTATTTTAGAATAACTTTTTATGTCAACACAATTAGACCCCCTGTTCTTCAGATAGTCTTTTCTAGTTTTATTAACTTCCAAAAACTTGTCACACATAAATATACACAGTATATTTATATGTATATTCTCAAAAGCTAAATTACTTTTCCATTCTGATAGGTTTTAAAAATTATGAAATCTCCAAAAATTTCTAAACTCCATAGCCGAATTCTTGTAAATAACAAATGAAATCCACCTACCAGATTGCCTCTCCAAAATTCAGATTTGTTTTTGAAAAATCCGAATTGTGGAGGATGTGAATAAATACAGATCATCATGTGGCGTAATTTCCAGATGACCAATTTTTTTATTTTTGCTATTCTTGCTTTTTTATAGTAAATTTTTTTTAGAATCCATTTTAATTTTAGAAATATTTTACGGTACTGTGTGACATTTTGTGACATACAGATGTATTGTGAGTGCACCAGTACTGACCATAAACAATGTTCCCTTGAAAATCTGTATCTCTCTATAATGGATCCCTCTAAACCCCAGGATAGATCCACCCACTGGATTTTTCCCTTCAAAATTTGGATTTCTTGAGAAAAATCCAGATACGAAGGGGAATGTGGTGAATTCCAGATTGTTGGTTCATCACATGAATTAGTTTCCATCAAATTGTGTTTTGTTTTTCCTATATTTGCTAATCATTGTTTTACATACAGTATATAAATATTATTTGAAATACCGTAATGCATTTATATTTTTAAAATATTTGACCGAGCTTGCTCTACTATAAATTGTACAAACGAGTTTATTTAACGTTGTTTTTGAGATATCCAGACCTATTGTGAGAGCACATATACTGATCGTGTGTGTTTTTCTTGTGTGGAAGTATAGTCTGACCTCGTGTTACTCGACCATTTTAACTTGGTTTTCTTGTAATATCTCATTATTTGCTATGTTATAACAATGTAACTATGATGTAGCTTTGCTATCCCTCAAGAGTAATAAGGATACACCAGCTAAAGGTAAGAGAAACTGCCTTAATATGGATAAGAAGGCAAAGTTATTAGAGAAATTTGATAGAAAAAAGGTAGGGAAGAGACTGGTAAGAGGATGATGTAGTTTGTGCATAGTACAGTATAGTATTAACAGTCTGTAGCTGAAAGAATGGCACTAATTATTTGCCTGATTTACATGAGGGCCATTTTCACTAGTGGCCTCAACGAGGACAGGAAGCTTTCGGTTTGTCAAAGATCCTTCCCCATTTGCCTTGATCCTATCCAGGTGACCTTTAAAACCTAAAAGTTTTGACATTTGCAGCTTCGGTGGGTAGGTAGTTCCTTGGGTTTATAACTCTGTTAGTGAAAAAGCTTCTCTTGTTCTCAGTCCTACATTGTGGCTTGTTGAGTTTGAAATCATTGCTCCTTGTTTGTGCTACACCTGATCTTTTGAAAAAAGTCTCCAGATCAGCATCCTCCAAATTGTTCAGTATTTTAAGTTTCAATAAGATCTGCCCTGTCAAGCCTAGTTTGCAATGTTAGCCCTGTGGGCCTCAACCGTTCCTGATACAAGAGTTGACTTGGCTCTGGAATGAATTGTTGCCTGGTGTTGAACTTTCTCATTTATATCATGAAAGTTCACCCTGAACCTTCATGGCTGGTTCAGGGTGGCTGGGAAAGTGTAAGTAATGGCATAAAATTAAAATTATTACAGTACTATACTAAATTTTGCTGCCTCAGGTCACCAAGAGCAGTCTCTAGCACAAAGAGGAAAGTAAACATCAATATTTATTCATTTGTGGATCCTGATTAATATTTATTTTGCATCAAAATCTTTGTTTATATATTGTCTAAATATGTAGAAAAATGTCATTTGCTATAAGAAAAATCAAGAACATTTTGGGGATGTTAATTAAAATATTGAACAGTTGTTCAGAAATCTGGATTACTGTATAGTATTTGCAAACTTGGATCAAGGCTGGAGTAGTATGATCTGGATTTTGGAGGGTCCACTGTAGTTAGCACTAGTAAATAATGCTTTGAAATTAATTAGCACCTGAAATTTAAAAGTAATTGTTCTTGGTTTAATGCAGATAATTGCCACCGGGGGATCAGCAGCAGGAATTCCACTTTGAAGGATTTAATGTCATTGTGTAATAGGGATGTGTGTCCTCACAGTATAGAGTCTAGGCAACGATCCTGTAGCACAGTGGTCACCATTCAATTCACATCTGGAAGGCCCCGTGTTCAATTTCTAATTGAACCTAGCTGTAAATTAAACCTAAAAAATATGCACTGAAGAGTTAAGCAACTGTTGTGGGTTACAGCCCGAGGTAGGTCAGACATTGGCCTAGAGGGATCTTGATAAGCATAACAGGCTTCCTGTCCCCAACAATGAGAAAGAACTAGTTGGCTTCTTCAGTCCGGTAGGTAAAACTCATTTATTGAGCTATAAAACCATTATGATTTAAAGTCTTTGGTTTATCATTATTGATGGTTGAGCATTTATTGAAGTCAAATGGAATGTTCTTGATACAGACAGTCAAATTTGGTAAAGTACATTTTGTTTATGAAATGACTGACTTGACCGAAGTCTAATATTCAGGGCCTTAAAATCTCAAGGACAGTACTTTTGCCAATTGGCCAATTAGTCCACAATGTAAAGCAACATGATTGATAAGTATATTATTAATTTATTTTAACACTAGTGAATGCAGTATATAATTGCAATAGCACACCTTCAATATCTTTCTTACTGATCATCACCTCTGGAGTTTCAATGATTATTACGTCACTAAACACATGGATATTGGGCAAAGGCAGAAGCCATTTGGTTATACCAGGAAGCAAGAGAATGTACAAAGGATTAGCTTTGAAATGAGCAAGAGGAATAGATAGAAATGAGCAAAAAATAACATTGAAATCTGATAAGGAAGAATTGGTTTAGATAAACCTAAGTCTACAAAGAATTAATGAGAGTCTGAAGGTGTTTGTTGTATGATTATTGAATTATTAATAGTGAAGAAGTTAAATCATCCATGGTAATAAGGATAGTTTTCTCATGAACATGCTGTCAGAGCTTGATAAAATGACTAAACAAAATGAAAATGACATTTCTTCATCAGAAGATGAAGAAATGACATTTTGGTCTGTCCTGGACCATTATCAAGTCGAGTGCTAGGATGGTCCAGGACGGACCGAAACATTGTCGTTTCTTAATTTTTTGATGTGTGATTTAGTCATCACATCTTCAGCCATGGTATTGTGACTCTTCTGCAGAGCTTGATAATTTAGATTGCAGTAACCCAAATGTCCTAGTAATCTGAATGAACTGGTGCTAAAGTTTTGACCTTTTAACTTGAATAGGAATTAAAATGATTGAGAATTCAGCCAAACAAAAACCCCATTAAATTTGAGCTTGACTTCTTGACCTCTCATCTCTAATAAAATTTTGAGTTACTGAGATTTCTGCCAAATGAAAACCTGAATAAAGTTTTTATTAATTTTTGGACATTACTGGTAACAAATTCGGGCGACTTGAACGTCCGTCTAATTCAAATTGGGGTGTGCTCCTTATAATTCAGATTATCAAGCGTGGACAGTGTTTCCATTGATGGCTGTGGTTTATGGCAGTTATAGCCACCACAATTACCATATTTTCTGCCATATAAAAAGCATCTAGTTTAAAAGAATGTTTTTGGGGAGGGGGAAAAAATTTATTATACATTTATTGGCAGAATATCAGGAAGTTTTGTAAGGAAGTCATATGATTTTGTGAATGTAGATAAAATATAGATTGGGTTGGAGGTGGATAATAAAAAAAAAAAAGTCTCGTCTGCAGTTTGGCAAATAAAATTTCATCTTGGTGAGTGCATGTAGTTTTTGTATCTTGAACTCTGAGGAGGAGGAGGAGGTAAATTCATACAGATCTGTGTCAGACATTTCTGTGATGAATTCTTTCCTGTACAATTATTTAACAAAACTAATTTTTGTGCTGGTTTAGTTAATTCACAATAATAAAGTACTGTAGTTTCAACTGCAAATAAGGAAAGATTGGTTAGTGGAGGTAAGTGGAGAAAATATATATCATTGCATTAAGTGGGAAGTGCCTCTAGGTGCCAGAATGCTTGTTTTGCTTACCTAACTGAAGGATAGACAGGATGTGATAAAGAATCCTCGGAGCAGCAAGAGAGTGTGCATTCTACAAAAGGATTTAACATTTTCTATAATTTTGCATTTGGGAAGCAGAATATTTTTACTGAAAACATATTAAATAAAGGATACAATCTACATCAGTACAAATTACCATAATATAAATTACTATTTGTTATTCTGTCATTTCATACTGTATGTAACTGGCATGTGAATACAGTGCTTTGTTCCATAAGCATAGCTTGCTATATCTTATATATATTATATTATATACTTTTGTTTCAAGTATAATAGCAAACATTCCAGTGTTGTCTTTCACATAAATTAATTTTAAATCTAAGTCTGTTGTATGAAATTCTTTTTTTAACCTACTGTACTTGTTATTTATCATTTTTTAGATATACAGTAATTGAATGATTTTTATAATTTTCATATAAGTACTGTTGTCATAGTGTTTTTATAGGCTTGCAGGATAAAGTACTCAATGTTTGCATTAATTAGAAACTACATACTGTATAAATTTTGCTGTGTAACTTGGGAGCTTGTATGTTTAGAAGTTTATACTTGGTAGATTGTATGAAAACTTGAGCAGCATGGTAAGTCTTGAAAACATACAGCATGGTAAGTCTTGAAAACATACAGCATGGTAAGTCTTGAAAACAAAGTAGCATGCATGCAATATTTATAAGTATTATGAAGGAATGCTCTTCAGAGCCATAAAACATTTATGAAGGTATTACACAACCTCTTTACAGAAGGATCGTAGTGATAAATTTTCGTAATATATATTTAAGTTAATGGTACATAAGTATTGTTCTTTCAGATACATTGGTAGGTTTCTTTAAGAAGTTAAGTATGTTACATGAGCTTATATTGTCCAAATTTTATTCAGAACTACATTTATAACTGCCATTATATGCAATTGCACATTTTTTGTTTTCCCATAGTAAAACACACTCGTGTGTGTATGTAATTACCTAAGTGTAGTTACAGGATGAGAGCTACACTTGTGGTGTCCCGTCTTCCCAGCACTGTCATGTAACACTTTGAAATTAGGTTTTGACCACCACCAACTCACTTATTCCAGCCGCCTACCACTGTTTACAGTGTGTGTGTGTGTGTATATTCACCTATATTTACTTGCCTATAGCAGCAATTTGGTTTTTATATCTTTTTCTTGAAGTTACATATGGAGTTAATCATAATTACTTCCTCTTTAAGCTGTGTGTAATGTAGATAATTTGACTGCATACAAAGGGAGTCTGAACTTTGTGGTTTCTAGCTCTCTAGGATACCCAAACAGATGGACATTGAAACAGTCATAACAATACTGTATACTGTATATAATCTCGTTAAATTGGTGTCAAAGGTATTGTATCAGTACTTGTTAGACAGGATGCTGCATATTGTGTGGTCAGGTGTTGGCAGAGTTTCCATGTTGAAGGCAGGAAGCTGAGCAGCTGCAGTGTGGCTGGTGAGAAGAGTCTCCTAGTTGTCAAGTTCTGACTGCTCTAGCTCTGTTTAGCCACCTTATATACCAGGTTGTAACTGCCACCCAGATCAACACAGCTTCCTGATCAGCTGCCAGCTGAGCAATGAGAAGTAATTTGATCTGTTTATGGCTGGTGGAAGCTGCAGCCGCTGTTGTAGACACTACGTATGTACTCACTAGTCCTACACTGAAGAATAGCCACTTATATTCCTATGATTCAACATTCATAGTTGGTGGTGGGAGACAAAAACACTGCTTTTGTCTCCTACCACCAACATTCCTGGTTTCCACCCATGTCTGTATCAACCTTCTGCTCATGCTAAACATTTTGTTTTTGTTCACTTAGTCAATGTCTCTAAAAGTCCTCTGCTGTGAGTACGTCATCTTTTTGCCTTGTCTATTCCAGCATAGTCAGGTTTAGTTTTCTCTCTTCATTCCTCATCCTTTTCCATTTATAAGCAATGAACCCCTGTGTATCTCTGTTAGATTTAACGTAGGCCAAACCATCTCGTATAGTCTACTTTCAACTAGGGATTTCTCTGCATTGTTATCAGCACTTTGTGTTCTATTCAACTGTCAACAGCTAGGAATTTATGATTGATGTTTGAGACTGTTGGAAATGCTCAGCACTGCTTGAGAAGCCAGTAGTATTTTCTTACTACATCCATTGAGGAAGTGATATTGCCAAGAAATTTATGGTTTTGTTATTGATGAATTGGTGTCTGTTGAAAGTGAACGTAGTTCCCACTTCTTGGCTATTGGCACTGGTTCTCGCCCCTCTTATGCATTCCTTTACCCAAAAATCCATGCTGAATCATGCTTTCAGACTTTAACACTATCTAGACAAGCTCACAATGATTGCTTTACTCTTTCTGAACTTTTCTGCTCTGTCCCTTTTGACTGCCATGGTGGTGGTCTCCGATGGTATTCACTGTGGGATGCTCCACACTCTCTCTCTCTCTCTCTCTCAACTCATACCTTGGAGTATTTACTAAATATTTATATTCAGATTTGGATTATTGTCCCTTTGCCCTCACTAGCTGTGTCTGCAAGCTTTTTGAACATATGAATAACTTGCACCCTATGTAGTTCTTATAATATAATTATTGACATAACCTGGAAATTTAATATTTTATCCAAATTCCATTTTTGTGTATGAGCACTGGTGGCTCCCTGAAGTGATCTTGCTAAGATGGCTTCTCACTTCTGGATCACATCAGTTGCCAGAGACTTTTTGGTCTATCAGTGACCAGAGCTAGAACCTGCCCCCCCCCCCCCCCCCTCCTCTCACTGAGGTGCAGAGAGCTGGGGGCCATATTTTTGTCTCCCACACCAGGAAAGCATTCAGAAAGTCTGCAAAGCTTTACAGACAATTGCAAGGTTAATAGAAATGTAAGCAACAAAGCTGCCAAATACTCGGCAAATTATGCAGACAAAACAAGCAGGGTATGTGGGCCTGCAGGCCGCTCCAAGCAACAGCCTAGTGGACCAAACTCTCACAAGTCAAGCCTGGCCTCGGGCTGGGCTTGGGGAGTAGAAGAACTCCCAGAACTCCATCAACCAGGTATCAACCAGGTATCACTCTAGCATAAACCCATTAGTACCAATAGCTGCCATGAGGCAGCTCAAAACCCATCCTACAACCTTATTCAAAGGTCAGCCTTTCTGTTGATGTGGTCGCATATACACATATAATCATATAAAGATCGTGTGAATCTTGCCGTTGATCTTCAGCACCCATCTATCTTGGTGTTACCTTACTCAGTCTTGGTGCATGCTGTACACTGTACATTCTGGGATGTAGATTACTGACATTTATAAAATTAGACTTTTCCCAGATGTCTGAATTGAATTATGGTAGCCCTGTGCATTCTTCTGCCTCGACCCTTCATCATCATGGCAATTTGTATCGTGCTAGCTTGTGCCTCGGCTTGGAAGTACAGTATTCCATTCTTCCACAACTCGGAACTTGTATGCGAAAACTGGTGTTCCATTGTTACAAGACCTTCATGATTAGCAGTGCCTTCGATACTTTGCATGGCTTACCCAAAGTCCTTTAGTCACACTTGTTCTATGCTGTAACCAATACAATCCTTTATTGTATTGAGTCTTTGCAATCTTTAACAGTCGTCCTGAATTATATCTTGAAATTTGAATATTCTGTAAAATAGACATTTATACTGTGTAGCCATACCATATTTTTCTTTCTTGTGAATATTTCATACTTTCAGTTATCTTTATGTATAAATAACAGTTTTTCTCTGTTAGGTAATATTTGCCAGAAGTATGTCAGTTCTTGGTAATTTTATGGATTAACAGAAATGAATTCTTATGGTTTTCATTAGTGCTAGCATCAGTTGATGAAAACTGTAGCATCAGTTGATGAAAACTGTAGCCTAAAAGTTCAACAGTGTATATATATAAATTTATTGACACATTGTACAATATTTTAAGATGTTTAATATGGAACACTTAAAATTTAAATAATGCGAGCCCAGTGATTTTTCTCCCACACCCAAAACTGACACTTTGATTAAGGTTTTTGTATAAACATTTATAACCTAATTAGAATAATATTTAGGGAAATAGTTGTATAAAAGTCCTCAAAATAACACTTGTGGGATGTCAACCGAGTCAAACTGTGCAAAACTGAACGTGCTATGTTAAGTCCCCTTAACAAAACCCATTTGTAATGAAAATCAACCCTTTGATCTTTATAAAAATGCTCTTTTTGGCATTCCTATGCCTGAGTTTTTTTGGGGGGAGTAAAATATCCTTAAAACATTGCAAGCAAATTAAACTATTAGTTAATGAGATTTTGTCAAACATCCATTATTTGAATATACTGTAGCTATTAACCTACTGTCCATCGGCCAAAACACGAAATTCCCATACCGTGGTGTCCCAATCAGACAGACCAATGTATACCAGATTCCTTCCACGAGAAAAAACCACCATTACATCTGAACTTTGCAGGTTTGTATATAAACTTGTATTTTTATTAGTACAAATGACAGAATACTTTTGTCCCTACTGTAATTTTATATGATCACTTGGAAAAATTAAATTTTTATGTAATAAATAATACTCTGTTGATTTTCTTTAGATATATGGCATCACTTTCCAGTACAGTGAATATGCGGATTCGTTCCACTAGAAGTCTTCCGCAATTTACCTTGCAACTGATTATAATGATCTTAATGGCCAAAACAGTCCTTCCATTGAATCCAGCCTTCTGGTAGACAGTTCTGTTTGAGCAAGACTTCACTGTAAAGTGAAGCCCTGATTACCTGGATCTCCATTATGTAGATTCTCAGGTTAATAAGTCTGGTAAAAATCCAGTTTCTATCTTAAATTTACAAGCTCATATAAATTAATTGGAGCTCTCCCGATTAACCAAGAAGTCTCTCGTGATTTGTAAACTCGTTTCAGCCAAAAAACAAAAATTTTGTAGTTTCCTACATGTACTGTACAGTATATTATATATTAGTGACTTTGCATTCAAAAACCATTGTAGTTATTTTTAGCCCATGTGTCTATTAGAATACATTATAAATGAGTGTTGTATGACATAAGATTAAATAAGGAAAAGGAATTTGAAGTACTGTAATTACTTTGGACGATCACAACTTCAGTTATCCGGGTAATCGGGGTTGCACTGTATATACATCATGGCATTACTAAGGAAAATGCTTCCTCAAAGATTAAGGTTTTCTTGCACGAACCTTTCCATGGTCATGGTGTATAAGTGGGAATGGTACATAACATCATAATACAAATTTTCATGGATTCAAACTTTGAATGCATTAACTATTTATTTATTTATTTTTTTTTGTATATACTGTACC